GTCACAAATGGCTGGATTTCATCGTTTTTTATGGTTGAGTAGTATTCTATCATATATATATATATATATATATATATGTATATCTTCTTTATCCATTCATCAGTCAGTGGGCACTTGGGTTGCTTCCATGTCTTGGCTATTGTGAATAATGCTACAGTGAACATAGGGGTGCGTATATTTTTTTGAATTATTGATTCCATGTTCTTTGGGTAAATACCCAGTAGTGAGATAGCTGGATCATATGGTAGTTCTATTTTTAGTTTTTTTGAGAAATCTCCATACTGTTTTCCATAGTGGCTGCACCAGTTTGCATTCCCACCAGTAACTGTCGTTTTTAATGGTTGCATAACATGGCGTTGTTTAGAGGCATCTTGATACAGTCATGAGCCGTGTCTGGAGTCTGAATGCCCGAGTTTGAATTTCTGCCCTGCCACTTATTAACTGTGGAATCTTGGGCAAGTTATTTCTCCTCTCTATGCCTCAGTTTCCTTATCTGTGAAATGGGGATTATAGGATCGACTTCATATATTTGTTATGAAGAATACCCGAGTTAGTAGATATAAAAGCACTAAAAACAATGCCCAGCATGTTCTTGATAAGTGTTAGTGTTGGTGCTGTTACTGCTACTGTTGTCATTATTTAGCCCACAGCTTATTTAATGAATCCTCTATTATTAGGCATTCATTGTTTCTGCATTTTTGCTGTTTTAAACAAAAACAGTCTTATAACTAAATCCTTACTCAGATCTCTGATTGTGCAGGGAGGGCTTTTTGACCCTACCCTTGGCCTTTTGTGGCCGGGACCAGGGTTAGGGATGGGGTCCTTGGGCCCCTCTGCTTGGGCTCTGTCTGCTTTCACTAACGCCTACCCCTCTGCCCCCACAGGCTGTGTGGCACCTACCCTCCCTCCTACAACCTGACCTTCCTCTCCTCCCAGAACGTCCTGCTCGTCACGCTGATAACCAACACCGATCGGCGACATCCTGGCTTTGAGGCCATGTTCTTCCAGCTGCCGAGGATGAGCAGTAAGGAAGGCAGGGCTGGGATGGAGAAGGGGACAGGCCTTAGGGGCTGGCCTGAGCACAGGAGGCCACAAGCCAAACCCTGTCAGTGACAGAGTTTGGAAGCTTAAGCCCAAGGGCCTTTTGCCCATTGCCTGGGTTAGGAGCCCTCCCTAGGGCAGCCGGCCTCCCAGCACTCAGACTTGCCAGCAGCTGGCTGTGGAGCTTCTGGTGCCCAGGCCTGCAGCCTGCGAGCAGAGAGGGCTTTGACTCAGGCCTGCTCTCCTCAGGGCCCCCCTGCCTGCTGCCTGGCTAAGCAGGTCCTCACCTCTCTCTCCTGCCTTTGCCTTCAGGCTGTGGAGGCTCCTTACGGGAGGCCCAAGGCGTGTTTAGCAGCCCCTACTATCCAGGCCACTACCCGCCCAACATCAACTGCACGTGGGACATCCAGGTAGGAGCTGTGGCTCTGGGCGTGTGTGAGAAAGAGGGAGGGAGGCAGAGAGGGAGGGAAAGAGAGATGGAGGGAGGGAGGAAGAGAGGGAGAGGGAGACAGAGAGCCGAGGGAGGGAAGGAGAGTGACGCTTCAGGAGGGCAAGCGAGGAAGGGCAGAAGAGAGGGAGATGAGCCCCTTTAGTAACCCCGAAGAGAGCCGCATATCTGGAGCCCACAGGGCAGGGCAGGTTCGGGGGGCTGATCTGCTGCAATGTCAAGCAGACCCCGACTCAAATCCTAGCTCCTGATCCATGGTTGACAGAGCCCTTGGCCAGTTGGCGTCTGGTGCCTCAGGTTGCCCCTAGTAGAGTGAGAGGTGCTGTGGAGTGAGGTTGGAGGGTGTGTGGGGCGCAGAGAAAGCACTTGTTGCAGGGCAGCGAGATCAGAGTCTTGCCTAGTCTGCCCCTCAGCCACCCCAGTCAGAGAGCCTTCTCTCTTTTCTTCCTTGGGTAATGTCGGGAGAACTCTTCAGCCTTCTTTAGTAACATAATAGTGTCTCTCCCCTCTGAGTCTAGAAGTTCTTCCAGGCATCAAACCCAAATCCTTCCTGTTACGTGTTCTGTATCGCCCACATGGGTGGGGGAAGAAAAAACTCAGCAGCCATGTTCCGTGTCCGTCCTCCCCCGTCCCCCACCGCCACCACGTGCCACCTTGGGTTTAGGAAAGAGGGAAAGAAGCAGCAGAGACCCAGCACATCTCTCTCTTCAGGTGCCCAACAACAAAAATGTGAAGGTGCTCTTCAAATCCTTCTACTTGTTGGAGCCCAACACACCCCCAGGCTCCTGCCCCAAGGACTACGTGGAGGTCAACGGGGAGAAGTGAGCGCTGGGAGTGGGGGCGCCGGCACGCGGTGCTAGGGGAGGGGAGCCTGGAGCCCCAGGGCGGGAGCCTCTTCTGACCACTGCCCACCCCTCTAGGTACTGCGGAGAGAGGCCCCAGTTTGTCGTTTCCAGCAGGAGCAGCAAGATCACTGTTCGCTTCCACTCGGATCAGTCCTACAGTGACACAGGCTTCTTGGCCGAGTACCTCTCCTATGACTCCAGTGACCGTGAGTGAATCCTGAGGAGGAGGAGCCTGGCTAGAAGGCTTGACTCAAGATAGACTCTCTGTTCTGTGTCTTATTAGCAGTATGCTTTCCTGATTCTGAGATACCAGACCGTGTAAGATGCATATCACTCCAGTAGCTTTTTGAGGGAAAAAAAGGCTACCTTAAATGCATTTATTAAAAAAGGCCACAGTGACTGGCCCCGTGGCCTAGTCGTTAAGTTCGGCATGCTGCACTTTGGTGGTGGCCCAGGTTTGGTTCCCAGGCACGGACCTACACCACTCGCTGGCAGCAGTGCTGTGGCAGCAACCCACATACAAAATAGAGGAAGATCAGCACAGATGTTAGCTCAGGGGTAATCTTCCTCAGCCAAAAAAAAAAGGACATAATAAGCCCTGGTCCACACCACACCCTTCAGTCCCTGTGTGAGGTACCTTGAGCCAGAGGGGCCCCCCGGCCATCTGTCCCTTTGGTTGAGCAACACTGTGACTTTGAGAATCTGTGCTTGTCTTTGTGGCCTTTTAGCACCTTTAGGATTAATAGCATAATTCTGAGACATTAGAAAATACAGGGGCATAAGTCGTCACACTAACTACTCCTAGCTTTGAAAATTCTATGCTCTATACTTAAGAGATCTCACAGCTTCTATTGCCTTTAATTTCATTGTCTGCCGTATGGAAAGCATTTCCTCCACATACACAATGACTCTGTTCCAGTCCCGCGTCATAAAGTAACCTTTTGGAAGGCATTTTAACTATATGCAGGAGTCCAAATTTAAGTTAAAATCCAACCGCACAGCTCGCCGCCAGAGTCTGAGTGGGTGCGTGGACCCCGCTGATGAGTGCAGAGACAGTGACAGTGGCCCTCTCAGCTCTGTCACCTGCCTGATGACGTCGGTTGTCAGACACCTCCCGCTGTCAGAAACGTTGAAATGTGGAAACTGGCTCAGAATTAAGGAAGGCCGGTGCCGCCGTTTGACGTTGGATAGCACACAGATCTCCTCGATCTGATCTGCCGAGCCTCTGTTGGCCTGAGCTGCCTTGGGGGCCTGACACCCGGGATGTGGCTGCCCGAGGACACGGGCAGTAAAACTGACTGCACACCAGGCCGGCCTCTGCCCACTTTGCCTGGGGCCTCCCGGGGTGGGGTCATCGGGGGTCAGGAGGGCCCCCGGCCAGCCCAGGCTGTGGGTCCGTGGCCAGCCCCGCCCCGCCAGCTGCAGGAACCCCGAGCCAGAGCTTGGTGGGCAGGGACACCCCTGCCCTGGGGTGCCAGCTGCAGCCCAGCTCCTCCCTGTGTTGAGAGCTGGACTGGGAAGCGTTTTCCCTCTGGTCCTCAGGGTGGCTGTGAGGTTGGCTCCAAGGGAGGGAGGTGAGGCGAGGAGCCAGCTGTGGGAGGCGGGGTGGGGGCCATGGACGTGAGGCTTCGCTGTCCCCACAGCATGCCCGGGGAAGTTCATGTGCAACACGGGGCGCTGCATCCGGAACGAGCTGCGCTGTGACGGCTGGGCCGACTGCACCGACTACAGCGACGAGCTCAACTGCAGTGAGTTGGGGCCGTGAGGCCCGGCGTCCCCTCGCCCTGGCTGGGCCCCTGGCTCCTGCCGGCTGACCCCTATGGCAGCAAGGCCTGAGTGGGGGGGGGAGTTGTTCCCGCCACCCCGTAGGCATCGAGCCCCCTTCCCCACTCTGCTGTTTGGAAGCCCTGCTCGATGGGAACAGGCAGGGAGCTGTTGCTGCAGCGCTGGCATCAGCGTCCCGGACGCGCTCTCCAGATGGGAGCCTGGGCCCCGGCAGCCGTGCGGTTGCCCACCTTCCCCGGGGAGACAGTGAGGAGCGAGGCCCGAGGGAGGGCTCGCATCCAGTGGAGCCTCACGGCTGACCGCTGCCTCTGGCCCCCTCCAGAGTGCAACGCCACCCACCAGTTCACGTGCAAGAACAAGTTCTGCAAGCCCCTCTTCTGGGTCTGTGACAGCGTGAATGACTGCGGGGACAACAGCGATGAGCTGGAGTGCAGTGAGTGTTGGGGGTGCCACCGGGGCCTGGGCCCTGAGCCTCTGCTGAGTGTGCTGTGCTTCCACAGGTTGTCCGGCTCAGAGCTTCAAGTGTGCCAATGGGAAGTGCCTCTCACAGAGCCAGAAGTGTGACGGGAGGGACGACTGTGGGGACGGGTCTGATGAGGCCACATGTGACAGCGGTGAGACCTTTCTTCCAGGGCCTTCCTCCTAGTGGGAGCTGCACCCGAGGAAGCAGCCATGAGCACTCACCTGCAGTGTGTCCAAAGTTTAATCAACACAAAGCCCCCTGCAAGTTAAGGATGTCCATTGGGAGAGAATCTTCTGGAAGGTGGAGAACCTTTAGCAAGGCTAGAAGGACTGTGGGCATGGGTGTAGATGGGTAGGGCAAACCTGAGTGAGGGGCATAAGGTGGTTAGATCATTGGGCTTCTGGTTAAGTGACACAGAGGAACTGATTCCCTCCCCTGTGTCCTCCTCCTTGAGCAGTGAGCACTGTTACCTGCACCAAATACACCTATCGCTGCCAAAACGGGCTCTGTGTGAGCAAGGGCAACCCCGAGTGTGATGGGAAGGAGGACTGCAGTGACGGCTCAGATGAGAAGGACTGTGGTGAGTAGGGCCACCACATACGGTTGTGCAGGTTGTTCACTGTGCAAGGCACATACTGAGGCAGAGATCACTCCAGCACCTCACTCGCCTAGCTCTGCCCTGGTGAGAGTGTGTGTCTGCCTGGAGGAAAGGATAACTTTGCTGATTAGCACAAAGGAAGTGCCCCATGGGCAGCTCTGGTCCTGGAGGCAAGGCCCAGGGCAGCCAGCACGTCAGTGTCTCTGTGGCAAGGCTGGTGTCCTGGCCCTTGCTCTGTAGGCCTGGCCACAGGGGAGTGCCAGCCCTGGCTTCCCTGTCCTGCTGGAGGAGAGAGGGCACAGCTTCCAGGAGCACTCGGCAGGGTTTTGCCCCCACCCCACCCATACCGTAATTTGCAGCCTCTTGGGTTAAATTTGAGCATAGCTGCAGCTGTTCTGTGATTGCATGGCACCCAGGCACTCTCCCCTCTGAGAGCTGTGACCGTCAGCATTCAACAAGGATTTCGAGGCAAACAGCACCCATGTTAAATCTAATACACCAGCAGGTGTCTGGAGGCCCCTGAATGCATTTGTGCATGAGGTGGGAGGTGGGAGAGTGAGGGTTTTGAATTTGGGAGCTGGGAGAGGGGCCAAGTGGAAGTCAGTGGGTCTCTAGGGCTCAGAGGTACTTGTAGGGGTCCCTCAGGCCACAGCCCCTCCAGCAGTGCTGGTGGCCACTGAAAGGCGCCTGGCCCCCAGGCTCTGGCTGGACCTGGTGCGGGCCCGGGGCTGGGCCCCACGCTGACTCACCACCCTTTGGGCCCTCTGCCCCTCCCAGACTGTGGGCTGCGGCCGTTCACCAGGCAGTCTCGGGTCGTTGGCGGCACGGATGCAGACGAAGGTGAGTGGCCCTGGCAGGTGAGCCTCCACGTGCTGGGCCAGGGCCACGTGTGCGGGGCTTCACTCATCTCTCCCAACTGGATGGTGTCTGCCGCCCACTGCTACGTCGACGACCGAGGATTCAGGTGGGCCACTGGGGGGAAGCAGGGAGGCCCCCTCATAGGCCCGAAACGATGCCCTCCTCTGCGTTTTCTGGGGTTGGAAAGCCCCCTTTGTCTGTAAGTCACGGCAGGGGAGGATGGCACTGAGGCAGGACCAGGACTAGGAGGATGGCAGACACCCCAGGATGAGGCTTAATAACAGTAATAATAAAAACGATCATTTATTAGGTGCTGCCTCTCTGTCAAGCAGCACCCATGCGCCTCTCCTAACAACCCATTAGGCAAGTCTGATTATGTCCCCATTTTACAGAAACGGAGGTTCAGAGAGGTAAGGACATTTGCTTCAGGTTGCACAGCTATTAAGTGGCGGAGCCAGACTTGAACCCCGTTGTGTGGATTCCTAGGCTGTGCAGTTCGTCTCTGCACCCGGGGCCTCCCTGGGATGGGTTAAGACGAGCCTCACATTCACACTCCGGCTCTGGCTTGCTGGGTGACCTTGGGCAGTTCATTCATGCTTCCCAGGTCTCAGGTTCTTTGGTGATCATGGTGACACTGAGTTCTTATCCTTAGAGTGGTGAGAATTAAATATGACAATGCGCCTGAGACGCTGAGCCCTGTGCCTGGGGCACAGTCGCTGCTCAGCACATCATGGCCTCAGGTCCGTGGGCACTCGAGCCTGGCCCAGGGAAGGTCGCCAAGAAAGGGTTGTGCTGGCCTCTCAAGACCGTGTGGGCAGAGGATTAGCAGGAACAAGTGGCCCAACCCGGGGCTGGGGCTATTTGTGTCTCAGGTGCAGCCTACCCAGGCCCTCTGGCCATTGGCTGCGGGAGGGAGTCTAAGGGGACGCCGTGCTCCTGGAGAAGCGGGTACAGGGGAGTGGACCTTCCAGGGGATTCCCACTCTCAGGGCCTTCCTGCTGGTCAGCGCATGCCCTTCTGCCGCAGGCAGCTCCGTGAGAAGGTGACCCAGGCTGCCCTGACCTTTTGCAGGGAGGAGAGCACCACTGTGGACTCTCAGGAGAGACAGCCTGGGCCCTGAGGGGGCCTGAGGCACAGGTGCTGGGCGTGGTCTGCCAGGTGCACGTAGGCCTGAGTGATGGAGATGATGGCAGAGGCCTGGAGGCAGCAGGGTCAGTGTGACTGTCCTGGGGCTGAGACCATCCTCCCTCTCCTCATTTTGTCACACTCCGCTCCACCCTGGGCAGAAATCATTTTCTCTCTTTTTGGGCTGATGGGAGCTTACTTAATAATTTTTAAAAATAACCTTTTTATTTTGGAATAGAGACAAATTGCAAAGATAGTGCAGAATTCCTGCAGCCCCTCACTCCGTTTCCCTGACGTTTACGGGGTGCGTTTGTCGATGCTGTGAAACTCTCCCTGTCTGATGCTCTTCACTCCCCTCCAGGCGCTCCTGGCCCTGCCCCGACGTTTGCACTAATGTCCTCTCTGCTCCAGGAGCCGGTCCAGGTTCCTGCTCTGCCTTCGCTTGTCCTGTCTCCCCAGTCTCCTCTGGTTTGAGACAGTTTCAATTTCAGTCTTGTCTTTGTTTGTTTTTTCGTGACCGTGGCGGTCTGGAGGCCAGGTATCCTGTGGAATGCCCCCATCTGGGTTTGTCTGGTGCTGTTCTCACGATTAGACTGGGGTCGTGAGTGTGGAGAGAATAGCACATCGTATCATCAGGTGAACGATATCAACATGACTGATTGCTGGCGATAGTCTTCATCATTTGCTGAAGATGGTGTTTGCCAGTTTCTCCGCTAGAAAGTGTTTCTCCCTTTCTAGACTCTGTTCTTTGATATGAGTCAGTTTGGAATTCTTTTATTCTTTTTATTTATTTAATCGTCTATTTATATTTGTCGGGACTCGTGCATGTTTATACTTTGGGTTGTAACCCAAAGCCATGGTGTTGACTTTATGGCTCAGATTGTTCCAGATTTGACCATTGGAAGCTGTCTGAGGTGGGCCCCTGTGTCCCTTTGACATGCCCCCATTCTTTTGTGTTTGTGAGCCACTCCCTTGCTTTCTGGCACTACCAGGTGCTTGAGGCTCGTGTGGCCCAGCCCTAGAATTAGCCACTTCCCCGAGGAGCCCTTGTAGTGGGAATTGGTATTTAGAAACCAAGATCTGGAAGCTGGGTGTCCTCATTGTTATCACAGTCCTACTGTGTCTAGGCCCTGTTGGCAGACCGAGCCGGGACATAGGTGTATGTGTCCTTCCGGAAAACCCACCCCCGTGCCCTCCTGTACTCCCTCCACTTCCCTCGCTTCATCGCTTCATTTCTCATTTCCTTTTCCTTCATCTTCTCTTGATCACCAGTCTTACTTCTGCCGATTAGTACTTTCAACACCCATTGTTATTATGAGCGCTGGAGAGACCAAAATGAACAGGGCCTGTGTACGGGTTACCTAATACAGCGCGTGGAGTTTAGGATCCTGCCTGCGGGCTGGGGGTGACTGTCCGGAACGCCTTTATGAGCAGGGGCATCTGATCTGAGTGTTGAAACGTGAGAGTGTCTGTCAACGGACAGGTGACTCAGAACCTTCCAGACCAAGGGAGGGCCGTGAGCAGAGGCAGGCGGGGGTGAGGTGTGCAAGGGGCTGGGGTGCAGTCACTTTGGACACGTTGCTGAGGCAACAAGCGCTCACAGGGTGCCAGCAAGAGGTGGTAGAATGTGGTGGTTAAAAGCATAGGCTGCCTGCACTCAGGTCGTGGTGCATGACTTATTAGCTGTGTGATCTTGGGCAAGTTACTTAATCTCTCTGTGCCTGAGCTTAAAATGGGCAGCCCTACCTTGAAGGGCTGTTTGGGGATAAAATGACTTACCATGTCAGCACTTGGAAGAGTGCTTGGCACACCGTTGGCTCCATCTGTTGGCTGCTCCGACGCCCTCCTCAATGCCATGGCAGCACTGGGGGTCTTGGTGGCTGTGCCGTCACCGCTGGTCTCTCAGTTACTGGCAGGCCTGGAAAACTTACACAACTAGAGATTAAGTCTGCACATGTAACTGAGCACTGTCCTAGATGAAGTCTGCGCATGTAACTGAGCACTGTCCTAGATGAGTCACGTGGGCTCTAGAGAGACTGCTGTGGTGGGCTTAATAGGGAAGGGCCTCTATGGAGCTGGGAGCTGGGTGAACGGGGCCTGGCTGCGGGGCTGGAAAGCCTGGGGCATGGGGCTGATACCAGCACAGGGGGGACAATAGGATGTCTGTGTCAGGTGATGGGATCATGGAGAGATGGAGCCAGAGGGGGCGAGGGTGGTTCTCCTCTCGCCCCATCCCATGCCGTCCCCCCAGCCGCAGGTCCTTGCCTCCTAAGTACCGCGGGAGCATCTCCGCTCTTTCCCGCTCACTGTGCCTGCCCTGGCTCTCCCTGCTGAAGTGGCACAGCCCCCTCTGCCTGACGCCCCTGCTCCCTTCCCAGCACTCGGGTCTGTATTCCACAGTGCCCGACTGCTCTGTCCAAAGAGCTGATCTGATCCTGTCGGCCCCTTGCTTACATGCTTGCCAGAGCTTGCAGGATGAAGTAGAAACGCCTTAGCATGAGCAGCCGGCCCCAGCATCTGGCCCTGCCCAGCTGTCCAACCTCAGTCTCCTGTCCTGCCTTCACACCTTCCAGATATTCAGTTTGGGGGCTTCTTAAATGCCCCCTTTACTCTCTGTGAATATGCTGCCTTCTCCCCGGCCTGCAGGCTTTTAGCAGATCCTCGTTGGTCTTCAGGGCCTGGTTTGTGACTTGTTTCCTCTCCCCGCTCACCGCCTCCCCCCGTGCTCTTCCAGGGCATTCTACCCGCTCCTCTGCAGAACACTTGTCACGTTCTGCTGTCATTGGTGCTTTTCATGGCTCTCTCCCCAAGGACACTGTGAACTTGAAGATTGAGTCTGGGGCAATTCCTGGAACATCATAGATGCCCAATAATTATTGAATAAATGAATAGATGGATGGATGAATACGTGGTTGGATATGAGGATGATTGGGAAAAAAGAGTTGGACAGGGTAAGGCAGAATTAATGGCAGATATAGAATGCCTGGTGGTGGAGGTGCGGCCTGTTCTGATAGGTCTTGGGTATTGTTCTAGGCTGTTAAATAAGACAAAAAGGATCTCACAAAAGCTGTTTTTAGGAAGTTATTATCTGGCAGCAATGGATTAGAGTGAAGAGAGGAAAAATGACCAGTTTGGAGGCTAGTGCTTCAGGCTGGGTGTGACAACAAGAACGAAGAGGAGGGGTGGGTCCTGGGTCCGCGGAGGGCGGGTGACCACAGTGGGGGAGAGACAGGCGAGGAGTCCAAGGTCCAGGGCTGGGGGTGAGAGGCGGCGCCGTGGCCACGCATGTCATGACTAACCCTTCAGTGGCCTCTTGACTTTCCTGAGAGGTTAGAGGAAATGAAGCAGGTCTTTGTGCTTTTTAATATCATGCACATTTCTTATTTTAAAGATATATTTTCCCAATTTTTTATTTTGAAAAAATTTCAAACCTATAAAAAAGTTGCAAGTATAGTGAAAGAAAAAAAGATTACAATGAACACCCTCATACCCTTTATCTACTTTCATTAATTGTTGCATTTTACCACATTTGTTTTATTTCTCTCATTTCACACACACACACACACACACAAACACACACACATGCACGTTTTGTTTTAATAAATATTTTTCTTTTAAACACCAAAGTAGGGCCAGCCCCGTGGCTTAGTGGTTGAGTGCACGCGCTCCGCTGCTGGCGGCCTGGGTTCGGATCCCGGGCGTGCACCGACGCACCGATTCTCTGGCCATGCTGAGGCCGCGTCCCACATACAGCAACTGGAAGGATGTGCAGCTATGACATACAACTATCTACTGGGGCTTTGGGGGGAAAATAAATAAATAAATAAAATCTTAAACACCAAAGTATCTCAGAACACTTCAGTGACAAAGATTTGCTTTACTAAGAAATCCTCTTGGTAGCTAAACACGTTAGACCACAGAGTTAACATTAGGTTACATACACCTTACAACACGTTACTTCTATCTGTTAAAATAAGCCAGGGTGGGAGGCTGGACCTGTGGCATAGTGGTTAAGTTCAGCATTCTCCGCTTTGTTGTTCATGGGTTTGGATCCTGGGTGCAGACCTTCACCACTCATCAAGCCATGCTGTGGTGGGAACCCATATATCTCCATATAAAGTGGAGATATAGCTCTATACCTCCGTATAAAGTGGAGGAAGATTGGCACAGATGTTAGTTCAGGGCGAATCTTCCTCAGCAGAAAAAAAAAAACAAGCCAGTGTGAACTTAGAAAAGAATAACCAGCTCTGCTTTAGTGCCTAAATTCTCACAGTATCACACTTAGAAGTAGAAAGAAATCTTATTTTCCCCTTAAGTAGTTATTATCATGCCACACGGATTTTTTTAAATGTTAACAAAAATAAAGGAAAAAATCCTTGAAAATATGTTATCAGAGGGAATGAAGATACAGTATCGACCATGTGTACAAGTCATCCTTCAGGCACAACTTAGCCTACTTCTTCTACGCGTGACGTGTCGTCATCTCCTTCTCCATCTCTAGTTACAGCAGCATTGCTGTCATCAGCAGTGGGGTCACCTTCATCAATGCCAAGACCAAGTTAGGTCATCGTGTCGATCCTGTTAGCGTGTGTCTGGGCATCTTCGGGACTGGAGCCGGAAGACAGGAGTGCAGTTTCGTAGAGCAGGATGACCAGATCCTTCACAGACTTGTCCTTCTTGTCAGCCTCTGCCTTTTGCCTTAAGGTCTTGATGATGGAACACCCAGGGTTCATCTCCAGGTGCTTCTTTGCTGCCATGTAACCCATTGCTGATTCTCAGGGCTTGAGCCTTTATGGTTCTTTGATGTCTGCTGTCCAGCCATATGTGCTTGTGACAGTGAAGCTTGCAGATGTCACCAATCCATTTGACGTGACCACCTTTTTGACTTTTTCTCCAAGATGTCTTTCATGATTTTGCAGAGGTTTTCAAATTTTGTTTTTTTCTCTTCTTCGTCTTCTGGAAGTTCCAAGCCCTCTGTGGTGACTGCCACTAAAGTCTTCACCTCAAATTCCTTCAGTTGTTGGACTCATCCATAGGCTCGATCACATAGGTCACATCTCAGCTGTGTTTCCCAAGACGTTCACGTGTATTTTTCTGAACCGTTTCCAAGTTAGGTGCAGCCATCATGACACTTCTTCCCTAGGTACATCAGCCTGTATCTCCCAAGAACAAGGAACTTCTCCCACGTAACCACAATACAGTTACCATGTCCAGAAATGATAGCATGGATATGGTCCTGTTAGCTCACATACTGTCCAGAGTTCAGAAGTCCACCAGTTTTCCCAATATTGTTCTTTATATCTTTCTTTTTTTTTTTAAATCTAGGATCCAGTTAAGGGTCATGCTTTGTATTTAGTCATTCATTTTCGTTAGTCTCTTTAAAATCTAACCTTTTATTTTCGGTCTTTCATGGCATTACATTTTTGAAAAGTCTAGGCCAGTTATTTTGCAGAATGTCTCTCAATTGGGATTTTTCTGATTGTTTTTTCATGATTAGAGTTAGCTTCAGCATTGCTTGTCAGGAAAGGCTACATGGTGACGTTGTGTCCTTCTCAGGAAGCACGTGACAGCCCATCAGTGGGGATGATTGGGAGGAAAGTCTGATTACTTGGTTGAAGTGGTGTCCACAGGTCACTCCATTATAAAGGTACTTTCCCCCCTTAGTTATAAATAAGTAATCTTGGATGATGTGAATCTGTGTGAATATCTTGTTCCCCACCATCTTTTACCTGGTGGTTTTAGCATCCATCAATGATTCTTGCACATATTGGTTATTTTGCTATGGTAGGTGCAAAAGGTGATTTCTTATTATATCATTTTTTCTGTATTTATTGGCTGGTGTTTTTCTGTAAAGAATGGCTTTCCTTGTTTCATAAATTTTTTTGAAATTATTTTTTAGACTCAGGATGGACATGGATTCCCCTCCCCCTTTCATATTATTCATCGTGTATAGTACAGTTATGCGCCGCATAACAACGTTTTGGTCAACGACAGACCGCAGATACTATGGTGGTCCCATAATATTAGTACCATATAGCCTAGGTGTGTAGTAGGCTATATCATCTAGGTTTGTGTAAATACACTCTGTGATGGTCGCACAACAATGAAATTGCCTAAGGACTCATTTTTCAGAACTTCTGCCTGTCGCTGAGCGATGTGTGACTGTGATTTAATCCCATTGTTGATTTTGCTGTTCAGATTATCCTGATCTGGCTCGGAAGGCCTTGTTGTGCTGGCTCCATCGTTGCTTGAGCACTCGCTCTCCTCTGGTAAAACAAAATGGTATGGGTTCGTTTTCTGCTTTACTTGCTCCAGACCTGAAAGGAACCATTTCTCCAAGGAGCCTTGGCTCCTGTCATTTGCAAAGCATATTTAGAAACCAAGTTCTGGGTGCTTGGGGGCCATCATTGCTGTTGGGCCACTCTTCTGAGAAATCACGAGCTTTCACTGCTACCTCTGGTTGCACTCCAGCCGCACAGGTCCTTCCTCTCCTCCCTCCACCCCACAGCTCTGTCTCCCTCTCCTGCACGGAACGTGGCTCCCAGCCTCAGTGTCTCATCCTTATTTGTCCAGTCCTCCAATGCACACAGGACAGTTTCAGAAGTGCTACATCTCTCCTGCTACCAGCAGCAAACCTAGTAGATAAAGTCCAGTCTGTTCTTTGATTCATTTGGTGCTTAGAATACATACCACTGTGTTAGAAAAGCATTCGGATTGATTTCTGGGTTATTTCTTCTGTGCAAGATCAGATTAATAAGATATATATTTTGGTAATCAGATAAAAATGTATTAAAAGAGGGAAACAAAGAGGTAGAGGGTGTGAGTGCTGTGCAGGAGGCACTCAGTAGTTTCCAGTTGAGGGTCGAGGCCAAGCCGGAGCCACCTCCCCTCCCCTCCCTGCCTCTGCAGCCGGCAGGTGGCTCTGCAGGTGGCTCTGCCTCGATGAGCGCTCAGCTCGCTCCGCTCAGGGCTGCTCTCCTGCCCCTCCAGGTACTCCGACCACACCCTGTGGACCGCCTACCTGGGCCTGCACGACCAGAGCAAGCGCAGCGCCCCCGGGGTGCAGGAGCGCCGGCTCAAGCGCATCATCTCCCACCCTGCCTTCAACGACTTCACCTTCGACTACGACCTCGCACTGCTGGAGCTGCAGCAGCCCGCAGAGTACAGCAGCAGCGTGCGGCCCATCTGCCTTCCGGCCGCCTCCCATGCCTTCCCTGCCGGCAAGGCCATCTGGGTCACCGGCTGGGGCCACACCCAGGAGGGAGGTGAGCTGGGCTGGCCTGCAGCGCAGCGGGAGCGTGGCCCCACCTCCCGGTGCCTGGCAGGATGAGGCCGTCCAGGAGGGAATGGAGGCTTCTAGTGAAAGCGAGGGGTTTGGAGGCCAGGCTCTGGATGGAAGGCCCAGCTGTGCCGCTTGACTCTGAGTAAACTCTCTGAGCCTGTTCCTTCCTCTGTAAAGGGAGGGTAAAAACACCTTCCCAAGTGGCACTTAGTGAACGTGAGAACATCGTGGGGAAACTCGGTGACGAGGAAGGCTGGTCGAGCTGCGCCGGCGTCAGGCCCGTCGTGGGAGCCGGGCCTCCTCTGGCCTCCTGCCTCCATCTGAAGGCCTTTCGGTGGAAAATGTTGTATTGAAACAATCAGTTATAATATTAACAGAGCACACTGCTGAAAATTTGCAGTCTATAGAGAGGAAAAAGAAAACCTGACTCACAGCTCTGCTGCCTGAGCAGAACCGCTGCGGGCGTTTGTGGTGCTTCCTCTCAGTCCGTCCGTGGTGTATGTGCCATCTTGTTTCACCTCCCGGATGTGCAGCCTGCCACCTAATTACTCTGTAGGCTACACGACGCGATGTCCCGGCGAGGAGACGTGTCATCAGTCACTTAACCATTTGTCACCAAAGGCATCTGGGTTGTTTCCAGAGTTTGCTAGTGAAGTTACTCCCGTGGGAACATCTTGAGTGGAGCTTTTCCCCGCGTGGCATTGCTCCCCTAGGAGCCTGGTGGCCGGGGTCAGCCTGTCCTGCCCTCTCCCCCAGGCACCGGGGCGCTGATCCTGCAGAAGGGCGAGATCCGGGTCATCAACCAGACGACCTGCGAGAGCCTGCTGCCGCAGCAGATCTCACCGCGCATGATGTGCGTGGGCTACCTCAGCGGGGGCGTGGATGCCTGCCAGGTGGGCCCTCTGCGGGGGGCCGGGCGGGGCGGGGCGGGGCGGGGGAGCTGGGCAGGGCGCTCACGCAGAAGGGCTTGTCTCCCCTCAGGGCGATTCCGGGGGCCCCCTGTCCAGCGTGGAGGCAGACGGGCGGATCTTCCAAGCCGGCGTGGTGAGCTGGGGTGACGGCTGCGCCCAGAGGAACAAGCCAGGCGTGTACACCAGGCTTCCTGTCTTTCGGGACTGGATTAAAGAGCAGACGGGGGTATAGATGCAAGGGCCATCCACCAGCCACCCTAACATGCACACCAGTGGGCTGAGGACAGGGTCGCTAACTGCACGTCTGCCTCGGGCCCCCCAGAACCCAGACTGAACTGAATCCCCAGGACTCTGGAGATGGAGATTGGCCTGGAGAGCCTGTCACCTCCCTCAGCCTCCAAAGCGGTTTGGGAGATGGGAGGGCAGGCCACTGGCAGTGCCGTGAGGCCAGAGCCGCTGCCCTCCACCCCAAGCCTGGCCGCAGCTCTTCCCCGGAGACCTGCTTCCTCCTCCTCTTGGATGCAGGAGCCGCTGTGGTGTTGCTCTCGGACCCCTGGGTGGGGCTGGTGGGGGCCCTGTGGGCTCCTAGAGTCACACTTTTCAGGACCAGAAGGACCCTGGAGGACAGGTGGGGCTAAGATTTGAATGATTTTGCCAGCTCCCAGGGTGGGGTTCAGTGTGTGTCTTTGTGTGTATGAGTAAAACACCGTTTCTTTTTAGGTAAATTTCTTTTCTTACTGGAGTTGATAAGCTCTCCTTCCTCCTTCTTCCTAGCCCCAGTTGCAAGAAACTGGGTTTAAATTCCCCTCAGCAGAGACCCTGGAGTCAGGCTAAGAGTGGGGGACACAGTACCCTGCAGCCTTCTCCAGGCCAACCGGGGGCTGTATTTCTGCTCTTACCTGTAGCTTTCGAGACCAGGGCCTGGTGCCCTGATAGGAGGGGTGGGGAGGGGCTGCGGCAGCTGCCCAGCCTGGGCGCCTCAGGAGTAGGGAGGGGCTTTGTCCCTGGAATAAAGAAAGTGGGACTTTCTCTTGGGGGGGAGGTGGTCCCATGGGTACTGGATGTGTGTATGTGTGTGTGTGCTTGCGCACTCAGATTTGAGGGTGTGCGTGAACTCTTGGCTGTCCAGCGTGGGCTGAGTGGATGGGTCCTGAGGCCTGGGAGGAGTGGTGCCGCCTTGCTTAAGGGCTCTCACATCTGCAGTGCCGTTTTCCTTTGATTTTTACTTATTTATTTAAAACATTCTCTTTCTCCTTGCTTGGGATGACCCAGAGGGACAGTGTCAAGGTTCTGGGGAGGCATAGGGAGCTCTCGAAGGGGTATTGAGGGGCTTCTGTATGCCAGGGCACTGTGTGAGCTGGAGCCGGGGGAGAGGAGTGGACCTAGGAAGAGAAATCAGATGGCCAGTGTCGTCAGGGAAGACGAGGTAGTAATTGCCCATCGCTGTATCTCCAGCTCAAGACCTGGCTCTTAGCAGATGCTAATACACATTTATTGATAAATGGTCTTTGCCCTCCATGAATTTTGGAAACCAAAGAGAGGAAGATACAGTCTGATTGGAGCAATCTGAGCAGACTTCTTTGAGGAGGTGAGCTGTGTCTTTCATTTTAACCTGAGTGTTTTACTCTCTTGAGAGAGGGGGAAGTTTCGTCTTGACACCTGCGCTGGATTTCCCTCCCAGGGAGGGGAAGGGGGTCTGTTTTGACCACGGTGTGGGAGGCGGAGAAGGTGCTGCCAGGAGGCATGTGCAGATGGGGCCGTGTTGCACATGGCTGACGTTGAGGGAGAGTGTCGCCTGTGGTCTGCTTCCTCAGTCCCGCGTCTCTCAGGCAGCTAGGCCTCAGCCCAGGTGTGGATGTGGTTGCCCACACAGTGGGGTGCAGGGAGGCTGGCCTGGCCCGGGCCTGCCCACAGCACCCTCATTCTCCTGCCGTGGCCTGACATCGTCTTGAAAACTCCCTCCCCAGGTCAACGCAGGCAGGGCCATCAGAAGACTTCGCTGTGAAAGGGTCTTTGGCCCGCTAAGTCACAGAGTCTCTCTCCAGCCCCTGTTCCCGTTTACTGGTTCTCAGACTCGCTGTTCTCCACCTGGGATTCGGCTTAAACATGTGGATGGTTAGTCCTTCGGGGTCACCTGCCCTCTCCAGGGGTCTCAGTGGTATGTCTGTGGGGACTGGGATTAACATCTAGGACAGTGTGGCCCCTGGGCCAGCGACATCAGCAGCACCTGGGAAGCCTCTGAGGAGCAGCTTCTCACACTTCACCCACAGCCCCTGCGTCAGAAACTCCGGGGAAGGCGGGGGGTGGTGCAGCAGTCTGCGCTTGCACCAGTCTTGCAGGCGATTCTAATGTACTGGAAGTTTGGGAGCCACTGTTGCTGCAGTGTGTGCACAAGCTGACAGCACCAGCCTCCCCGCGGGCCCCGCAGGCGCCCAGAGCCCTGGTGTGCAGGCGGGGCCTGCAGTCCTGGCGGGGGCCTGCGAGCCTCATGCATTGGATGCCTGGAAACGCAACGAAGTGCCAGTGCCTTTAAAACGATTGTGGCGCCAAATCCAGTGTTACCTCTTAAAGGAGAGAACAGGCTAAGAATCGTTAACTAGCGGGGGCTCTAGCTCGCCACCCTGAGGCTCGGCGCTGACAGCGCTAATGAAGACAGAGGCGCTGGCACAGTCTGAGTTGACAGTGGGAGTGACACCCAGCCTGTGTCCACTCCTCCCTGCTGAGGACAGCAGCACAGGCCTGCAGTGGTGGCACAGGCACAGCCACTGCCCTGGCTCCCCCAGCTGCTGGCATGCCTTTCCTTCACCCAGGGGACGGCTGGTGGGGGGCTAATGACCAAAATGGTTTTGCATGTATTTGCATTTTCAGTTCAAGATCTCCAGCTCCAAGTGTGTGACAGGAAATTCAGTTTAATGAGTGCAGGATGCTGTGGGTGTAGCCCAGTCCACAGTGCAGGGCATCAGATGAGCAATGCGTTCCATTCATGGAGTTGCACCCTGGAGTAAAGGAGCTGAGTGCAAGGTGGTACCCCTCATCCCACCCCAGAAGCTGCTCAGGGCTGTCACCTGGGCAGTCGCACAGGGTCCTGCTCAGAAGGGCCCTGCACTTGGTTTCGTGCTCTGTGTTGCCTTCTTTAAATTCTTTTTTTTCTCCTTTATTTTCTAGGTAATATTGGTTTGTAACATTATATAAATTTCAGGTGTACATCATTAAGTTCTTAATAATTTTTTAACAAGAGGCCCTGCATTTTCATTTCGTACTGGGCCCCACAAATTATGTAGCTAGTCCTGTAGCCTTTTGTGCATGGCCATTCTTGGGCATCACAGGTAGTTACGGGGTGTGAACTGGGTGGGGAGCAGGGGCTGAGGAGGCTCTGAGGTGGGTGGAGCGAGGCGTGGAGTCTGCCTGCAGGTGGAATGCCAACCCCCTAGCTGCTGCCCTGTTGTGTGGGCTCTGGGGGTCTGCAGGCCTCTTCAGCAAACCTGGTGAGGGGGACCCTATGATCCTCTGCAGCTGTGGGACCCCACTGCAACTCAGGTGTAGCTGAGGTCTGCAGAGTGAGAGGAGGAGGTGGCAGGGCGAGGCTGAGGGGGTGGGATTCCTGTTCACACCAGCGCCCATATCCCGTGCACCGCAACTCCAGGCTTCCAGGGGAAGGGCCCAGTGCTCTAGGTTGGGTCCCCCTACTGCTCAATGAAACACCCTGGGGTCTTTTCCTGACTGACTAGCCTTGTTTCTTTAGCTTTGTTTCTGTTCTGTTGTTTCTGTTGCTAGGATCTCAAAACGATCTATATCTTTTTAGTCCCCCCAAACTACCTTCTATGTCATTTGTTTTAGCCACCAATCAGAAATATTTAAATTAAAGTTTAGTGAATGTTTAATCCTATTGCGTGGACAGGGAGTCGAACCCAGACTAGATTCTGCAGAAGTAACAGTGAAATTTGGATTAGTTAGGATGGACTTTATAGACAAGGCAAGAGCCCAGTTTGGAAGTCTCCAGAGACCCAGAGCCAGAGAACCCGAAGGGCTGGGAGGCAAGTTGTTCAACCACTGTGGGGCGTCACAGGATTTCCCTTCCAGACTGCCAGCCATGTGGTGGTGATGCTGCCCTCTCACAGGGGGGAGGGGCTGCGCACTGCCTTCTGGGTGTGGGCTGTGGGTAGGGTGGTGAGCTGGGATGGAGAAGAAGCCCAGTTCCAACCGTTCTCGGGAGGCTGGCTTCTGCTGCTTTTCAGCCACTTGTTGTGCAGTAAAACTGGTGCCCTCTCTCAGGGTGGGCATGCCAGATGCCCCAGCACGAAGCCCGTCCTGGTCAGTCCTTCGGCGCCTTTAGTGCCCCCCACCCCCCAGCCTCCAGTCTGCAGTCAGGACCTGCTGGCCCTCAGACACTGGGGCCGGGAGGACACACATCCCCAGGTCAGGGTCAAAAGATGGCTTTTGAGGTTGAAGAGAACAGAGAGGTGACCTGTGGGCAGGAGGTGGGTGTGATCTCTGAGTGTAGCAAGTGTGAAACGTCATCCCATTAAACACAGTTGGCAGACAGCTGCAGCACACAGGCATGTGTGTTCTTACACACACCTGCACAGACAGACACTGGGGTGGGGGAGCGGGGGGGGGGGGGGGGTTTTAGGGATGACTCCTGGTCCTGGGCATAAACTGATGGGAACATGCCACAGGAACATGACCTGGCTGTTACCCAGGGCACCTCTCCCTCCCCAGGGGACCTGAGGTACCTACAGAGTCTAATTCAGGGAGACTCAACCCTTTGTGATGAAATGATGCTTTTCCAGGCTTGGAATCATGGGTGTGTGGGGGGGTGTGTTTTGCATACCTGCAACCAAATGTAAGGGAAATTGGACCTTTAAGCCAGTGGTTCTCAGACAGTTGAATTTCTTGGAGCTGTGAAATTATAAGAGAACGTGGGTCCAACATATCTAACATTTAATGAAGACACCTCCCAAGTGTTCTAAGTGCTTTACATGTCTTATTTTATTTCAACCCCTCAGCAGCTCTATGGTCATTGCCATTTACAGAGAGAAAACCGAGGCACCAAGAGTTGATGCAACTGCCCAAGGTCCCACATTTAGGAATACCGGATCTAGGATTCGAGTGCTGGTCGTCTGGCTCCAGAGCCAGCACTCTTCGGCACTGTCCCACCCTACACTATATATTATTCATATACCATCGTCTCAGAGAGAAAGGAACTGTAACACGTAGAATGAAGGTGAGCCAGGTTCTTAGAAAACGTGTGGACCAGCGTTTGGGAGCTGTTCTCTAAGCACGGGTCCCACTTTCTTTTGGGACTTCTGAGAAACCTTCTGGCCACAAGACCTTCCTGCCATGAGACCCATCATCCAGGCTGTGGGGGTGCCCTAGGCTGGTAACGCACTTGTCTTCCATCTGCTTTGCCAGCCTGGGTGGAATGTCTGCTCATTGAGCCCCTGACCTGAGGTGCA